TTCTCTTTTTTTTTTTTTCCTTTTTGCTTCTGTCCAAGTCTGATGTAATAGTATGAATTTCCAAGGCAGCACGTTGTTATTTATTAGATTTCTAATGTTCAACATTAAATCTAGCATGTGTGTAATTCAAAGGTAGGACAAACCACAAGGGTGTGGGAACTTATCTAGCCTTAGATGTTTTAAAGATAGTTCTCTAAATCTAAGCCAGTGTTCCAGCATTCCTTGTAGTCCATGAGAAGAAGCAAAACAAACACTGCCAAAAATTGGTTTTGATCTCCAGACAGGTGCCCAAAAATGCTGGAGTGAGTAACCCTCAAGAGTTGAATCCCACTCACTGGCTTACCAGGAATCTCAGACTCAGGCAGAATTGTATTAGTTCTTTTGGAAGCTACTTCTGGATGGCAGTCTTAGACAGGAGGGGTTGTGTAGTAAGAATGCTGTTCTTCAGAGGAACCACTTAACAGCTGTACTCCTTTTTAGTAATTGCCCACTGTGCTCCGGAAAGGAAACCGAATGGGCCTTCTGCTTGTTTAGCCTTGTTTTGTTTGTTACTGCTGGTTCTTCTATCCACTGGATAGATATTTAAAGTTTTAAAAAACACATAGGGTTTTTCAGTGATTATACTGCCAACAGTCAAAATTAAGGTTCTGATAATATCACAGTGCATTACTGCTGTATGACCGAATCCCTTCAAAGGGACTATCATATTATCACCATGACCTCAAAAAAATGCTAGTTCTGTTTAATCATTAGAACAAAGAGCCGGAGGCCAGAAAGATCATAATACAACAATTAAGGACAGAGAAGAGACAATAACATGGTTCATGGAAAACAGAGACCAGAAAAAAACTAAGTTTATGGAGTCTTTCCATTTTCCTAGCTGATATGCTGTACAAATCCATGAGAGATCCAGTTTCTCCAAAATGTAAGCTTACATTAAAGTAGACTGTGAGCCCAAGCCATCCTGTTTACAAAAGGTTTCGTCTACACAAGGAAATTGACTGATACAACTCATGCAGCTATTTCTGTGCTGTTCTAAAAGCTGCAAGGAGTTATTTAGGAGCAACTACTGTGGAATAGTTCATGCTACAGTAGTTACACTCATTGCATTCCCTAGAGAGAAGAAGATCCATTATAATATTCAAAACATGAACTCATTTATAGTTCTGCAGCATTTTCTCCACGACTCTATAGGCAGCCTGAAATAATATTCTGAATCACATTAGTTTTCTCTGTTTTTGAACAATTAAAACTTAGTGACATGACATGGCATGACTTAGAATGCTTAGCAAACCTTTTTGATTGGAGGCAATTGGAGTTAAACACGAGAAAAAAATAGAAATTATTACAGGGAGAAGAATTTTGACGAATGGGAAGGACAGAAAGGGAACAGCAGCACAAGGAAAACTGGAAAGAAGCAAATTGAAGTGCAAATAACAGGGACAATCAAGATAGGAATGTTACCCCAACTGAGAAAGAGTCACAGCAGCAAGCCTGAGATTGTTACCACAGTACAACAGGGTAGTTTATTCCCTTGATCTTAATTCCAGTATCCCTCTGATAACATTGTGTATCTTGCTGTAGATTAAGTGTATCATATAGTCCTAAAATTAGACAAGCAGCCATTAAGTCTAGAATTTGGCCTTCTCTACAAAATGAATTTGCACATCCCTTGTGTAGGTCCCAGTCCTAGGACAATGTTTTCTCCATGGTATACCCAGGTTTGTTCTGCCAGGCTTTTCACTATTTTCTTTGTTCACTCACAATACCTCACAGCTCAGGTCTGTGACATTTCAGTGTGAGTATTTTTTAAAATAAGTTTTTTGTTTTGCCTGTTTTGAACAGTGCAGAGCAACTTGCTGATTGTTTCCGTAACTGTGGCTGATGCTGCTATCATTCTAGAAAAAGTAAATACTGTGGTAGCTTGAAGGAAAACCATGTTGTTTTCACACTTACATTTGTCATGAGCTGGAGAGCCAGTGAAATGACAAGGATTCTTACAGTACCACAAAGGTCAGTAAGGACAGAACACAGAAGCAAAGCTGCATCTATCAGATGCCCCCTGAGAGAGTGTCTGAGATGGCAAGCCCCTGATCTGTCAGCTTCCCACATAACTCATAGATGAGTTCTGCTCACACTAGCAGGATCAGGAGCTAAGTGATTTTACAGAAGCATTGCTTGTTTTATTTTCATAATTCGGAAGCTGATAGAAGATTACATCAATCAAAAATACAATTCATTGTGGTCTTGTCTATATAATGAAAGCTTTAATCTTTGGTGCATTCTTTATGCTGGTATATGAAAATGTATGCATTTTTTCTACCAAAGCCTTTGTATCTGTAGAGAGGGTTCACTTATCTCTTTGCACAGTGAGACAAGCAGCAAACCTGGTCCAAGAGAAGCAGTAAGAATTTGTGGCCAGGAGTAAGAGGAGGGGAAGGAGATGCAGCCAACTGCTTTGGTTGCATTCAGTGGAGCATTATGGCAGCACAGGTATCTCATGTAACTGCAAGTGTTAACCACACAGTGTGTTCACTTTGTACAAAGATAGACCCTCCATAACTAGGTGAGTTTGTAAAAAAAACTTCTCTGTGTTACTTGGGACATAAAAGCTCTTTAATATCATAGAAAGAGGGGAAAATAAGTAGCAGATGCTATAAGCCAGCCAATTCAAATGAGAAGTTACACGTGCTTTTATCAGGGCATATCAATGCCAGGGGAAGTGGTTGATTTGCTACCTCTTGATGTTCTTACTTTGAAACAGTGTGCTTTTCTGGAATTTCAAAATAGTTGCAGTTCTAAATATGGTGATGAGTGGATAAAACTTAATAGCTGTGACAAACAATAAATAGATCAGGTGCAACCAATAGATCTGTTGGTTCATTCTGGTCTTAAAATCTCCAGAGCTACAAAATTTGGTAGACAACTTTGTCTTTCTCGTCCTAAGTTTGTGCTGCTGCTGTTGGCATATGTTTTAAATGCATGTCTGAAAGCCAGAGGCTTTTTTTTTTTTTTTCCTCTCTCTCTTGGTTTAAACACTAACAGGAGACTGAAAACATCTCTGTTTGTCCAAGCCTGGAAAAATGCGGAAAGATTATATTACCAAAGGGAGAGAGAGGGAAAAAAAAGAGAAGAGGGAATACTGTGTACCCAACAAAACAGGGGCAAGAATGCAGGAATGTAAATGTGTTACAGGCTGTTATTAGGATTTTGGACAGAAAAATAAGAAAGAGAAGACTGAAAGGTTGGAAAGGCATAATGAGATACAGTCTGTTTAAGCTGGAAATTGTCTTCCCTAGATTGCTAAGGTGACAAAAAGAAACTATGAAATGTAAATAGTCATATTTGTTTTAAATCTGGAAGTTTCCACTAAAATGCCTGTCTCTCTATGATAGTCTTTCTATTATTATTATTATTATTATTATTATTTTATTTTTTAAAAAGTGCTCTGGGGAATTACAGAAAAATGAGCTTTATTAAGTGTTCATGGCCATCTGAACTACCCACCCATCCAGTATAAATGTGTTCTGGCAAAAGAAGTGTTTGTGTTGCCATGGCCTTTCCCGTGATGTTATTTTCTTAAGCAAAAGCATTTTTCTAGTGGAGATCTTAACAAGGACGCCGGCAAAGTGCCATGATTCAGTCCTTGAAGAGAAAAATAATGATTTGGAGGAATGGAGAAGGAAAGAGACAGCCTTAGAGGGGGAAGAGAGCAGAAGACTTACATGTCTGATGGTGACTCTTTCCCAACAGCAGCAGTGATGCCTTCCTCTGATCGCTCCATTTCCATGGGAGAGTCATACCATCTCCACCAGCCTTACAGAAACACTGACAGGCAACCTGAGTGTAGGGAAAATGTCCTTTTAAAAAATAATAAACCATATGCCTTGGTCACAGCCTTAATCAGATCAAGTCAGAGGGCTCTGCCCTGTGCGCAGATACAGGGACAACACAAAAATATTTCCCCAAGGTCTACGTGAATCCACGTGGATTGCTTGCAAGATAGGAATCCATTAATATATTGGACTTTTTCCTTTCTTTGCCTCAGGGAAGATCCTGCCTAAGGGTTTCACATGGTTTTCTATCCTCTGGCAAGTAAAAACAATTGTAAAGTTTACACTATTTAAGGATTTCTGTTCTGGTTTTAGATGAGCAACAAAGTGTTTTATCATAAAAACTAGCGGGCTGGTTAATGAACATTGAACATTATTATATACTTAGTGCAAGTCACAGCGACTGAAGCAAAACTCAACAGGTGATTACACAGAAGGCATAAGAAGTCAGGTATTGAGGGACCCTTTTGCTACATTTCCTCCCACATTTCAGCAATCATCAGTTTGTGAGCTAGAAGTTATATCTGAATACTTTTGTATTGATCAAAGAGCTATTAATTCCATTCTGAAGGAATAAAAGAGAAAATGAAACAGCAGGACTGAAGGCTGGGGCTTTGCTCTCATAGGATTTCAGTGGGACTCAGGCATTTTCCTTCCCTCTCTCAAACTGCCTTCAAACCCAGGTGTCTCCAGGATTCACAGGAGAACGCTGATGTCAGCAGAGGGAGTAAAAGAAGTAAGATCCATGTAGGAGAGAACCCATTACCAAGAAAAATAACAAGAAGTAAAAGCAGAATAGTCCTCTTGGGTCATCTTATCCCAAAAGACCTCAATTTTCCTCCTAATTCAAGCCACATTTTGAGGTGGTGACCAGTACTACTTATGTTCAAAGCAACTCAGTCCACATCTTGGTGATACCTGAATGTAACACCATTTTGGTACAGATCAAGTACAGAACTATGGCAAAACAAACCAATCAACATGGAAAACTTTTTTTATATATTTAAATAAAATTGGCTGCCTGGTGTATGGGAACTGTAGAGTCACAGCCTGAACCACTGATTGATCACCTGAGGCAAGGACTGAGTCAGCCCTGGAAGCATAGGTGAAGGCAATTTCTAGACCCCATTTAAGGGCTGTCTGCCACGGGGGAAGGATCTCTTCCTGGGGATTTCTCCTCTGTGGAGTCTTTCTTGCAAGCCTACCTCTTTGGATGCAGGTGAGTGTTCACAGGATCATGGAATGACCTGGGGTGGAAGGGACCTTGAGGATCATGAATCTCCAACCCCCCTGCCACATGCAGGGCCACCAACCTCCTTGTTTAATACTAGATCAGGTTGCCCAGCACTCCATCTAACCTGGCATACAGGGGCATCCACAGCCTCTCTGGGCAGCCTGCTCCAGCAGCTTATCACTCCCATAGTAAAGAACTTCCCCCTGACATCCAACCTAAATCTTCCCTCCCTCAACTTGTACAACACTTCCCCTTGTCCTGCTGTTATCTACCTTTTCAAAGAGTTGACTTCCCTCCTGCTTGTAGGCTCCCTCTAGGTACTGACAGCCTGCAATTAGGTTACCCTGCAACCCTCTTTTCTCCAGTCTGAACGAGCCTAGTTCCCTCAGCCTGTCTTTGTAGGAGTGGTGCTCCAGTTCTGATCATCTTTGTGGCTTTCCTCTGGACCCTCTCCAGCACTTCTGTCTTTCTTGTACTGGGAGCTCCAAACCTGGATGTAGTACTCCAGCTGGGGCCTCACAAGAGCAGAGCAGAGAGGAACAATCATCCTTCTTCTGATAGAGCCCAAGAAACCATTTGCTTTCCAAGATGCAAGAGCACACTGCTGGCTCATGTTGAGTTTTTCATCCATCAGGACACCCAGGTTCTTCTTTAAGTAGAACTTGAACTTTTATTTAGTTGTCACTATGATGGAAGTTTACGATCTACACACAGCAAGAAATTGGTTAACATGGAAAAAGATTCCAGAACAGAGGGAGAGGGAACAGACTACAGGGAATGACAAGTCTTGCAGGAGAACAGTGAGTAAAATTCAGAGTGTAATACTCTCTCCCTCCTGCATTTGTAAGTTATATAGTCCTGGGGATGGGACTATAATTTGAGTAACAATAATTCCTCAGGTTGCCTGTAAAAGCTCTTGAGGGGGATTGCTCATTCACATGCATTTGCTCCCTTGCAGTTTAAAGTGCATAGAGCAAAAAGGTCTCAATGAACTACCCCACCCTACAGATGACTGTGTTAGTGAAAGCTCCTACTTGTCTTATCTTTTAAAGGATTAGTCTTCAATCTGATGCTGCTGAAGTGGATATATGCTTAATTCAGCCATTCCTACTGCTGAAGCCATAAGTCCTGTGCTGGGCTGGGCCAAACGATCTCCATCTGCAAATGTGAGTAAGCCTCCTTAGAATCTGATTGTGTAAGACTAATTCTAATGATTTAAACATCTGAGTAGATAAAAATAAAAATACACTTTTGTGTGATGGCAAAGTTAAGCTGAATTAACTTTATGAAAAAGGAAATCTTATAAAATAATCTACCTTTAACAAATTGCTTAAAAACATAATGCAGTTACAATTAAATTGCAATTACATACATTTTTTTTAAATGTAAAATTTATAAAATTTATAGCATATTTAATTAAGAATTTTTGGGAATTATGTGCTCTACTGAACGTCAGGGGTAAGCTTTGTGGTTCCTGTTATAAAAATTCAAAGCTACATATGAAGAATTTAGAATTGTCCCAGTTTCTTTAATAAAAGGGGAGCTTTTTGAGCCTTTTCTAAGTTGAAATACTAATCAATCAGACCAATTGCTCTGTCTTAAGTCCAAAGAAAATGAGCAAGTATTTTACATTGTATTATGTACCATAATCATTTTGGAGTGTACTGTGTACTTCTCATATGCACATGAGATCGATCAGTCCTCCAGTTCTTTTCAGAACTTCAGTTAATATTTCAATGAGCAGTAAGATAATTCTTGTTCAGGTCTTGAAAGCAGTGGAAGTTCCGTAGCAGTGGAAGATGACAGAATCATAGAATATCCTGAGTAGAAAGGGGCCTAGAAGGATCTTGGAGTCCAACTCTTGACTCAACACAGGACACCTTTTCAAATCCTGTCTCTGAGATAATTATCTAAACACTTCCTGAACTCCAGCGAGCCTGGTACTGGGCCCCTTCACTAGCTTCTGTTCCCAACCTGCCTTCTTAACCATGGGAAAGCTGTTAAAAACTAACCATTTATTTGATGTCTCCACCGTATGTCTGTCAATTCATGAGCTTTCCTTGAAGACCTACTATCAGGAGCTCTACATAGAGATGCAAATGAGAACAAGAAGTGCCCCTTATTTCACTGTTGAGTTTAATTCTACGCATCGGAGAGGTAAAGCAGGCTCTGCAAAGCACAGAGGAGGCTTTGAACCACTTTCCCCTATAAGGTAATTGTATGAAGGATATTTCATCTGAATTCATCAGGTTTCATCTGATGCATGACTGGAACAGTCTTCTAGTTTAGTGATGTAGACTATTGCACACTAATACTTTGAAAGATGAGAAAGATTAACAAGTCCTCATTGTGTTTTTCTTCTCATAAATTAGCTAAGGCTTAACAAAAGACAAAAACTGTGTCTAGTCTAGCCTGTACCTTTATGTTATGCAGTTAAAATGCTACAAACTTTTCTTTTAAAAAGCACTTAGAACACTTGCAACCTAGCTGGTATTTGCATTCAGATAATGATGGCCTGTAAGGAGGATCCGGAGAACTAGAGGCTTGCCAGCCTCTAGCAGGGAAAGTTATGGAGCAAATCATCTCGGGTGCAATCACAAGGCATGTGCATGGCATCCAGGGGATCAGGCCCAGCCAGCACAGGTTCATGAAAGGCAGGTCGTGCTTGACCAACCTCATCTCCTTCTACAACTGGGTGACCAGACTGGTAGATGAGGGAAAGGCTGTTGATGCAGTCTACTTAGACTTTAGCAAAGCTTTTGACACGGTCTCTCACAGTATTCTTCTGGGAAAACTGGCTGCTCTTGGCCTGGACAGGTATAGTCTTATTTGGGTAAGGAACTGACTAGAGGGCTGTGCCCAGTGTGTGGTGGTTAATGGAGTTAAGTCCAGCTGGTGACCCGTTATGAGTGGTGTCCCCCAGAGGTCTGGGTGTCCATCTTGTTTAATGTCTTTATTGATGACCTAGATGAAGGGATTGAGTGTACCATCAGTAAGTTTGCAGATGACTCCAAGCTGGGAGGTGGTGTTGATCTGCTGAGGGTAGGGAGGCCCTTCAGAGGGATCTAAATACGTGGTATTGCTGGGCTGAGGTGAATGGGATGAGGTTCAACAAGGCCAAGTGTCGGGTCCTGCACTTTGGCCACAACAACCCCATGCAGTGCAAAGGCCTGGGGATGAGTGGCTGGATGACTGTGAAGAGGAAAGGGACCTGGGGGTGTTGGTTGATGCTTGGCTGAACATGAGCCGACAGTGTGCCCAGGTGGCCAAGAGGGCCAACAGCATCCTGGCCTGCATTAGAAATGGTGTGGCCAGCAGGAGCAGGGATGTGATCATCCGCCTGTACTCAGCACTGATGAGGCCGCACCTCAAGTACTGTGTTCAGTTTTGGGCCCCTCACTACAAAAAAATACTCTGGAACATCCAGAGGAGGGCAACAAAACTGGTGAGGGGTCTGGAGCACAAGTCTTACGAGGATTGGCTAAAGGAGCTGGGATTGTTCAGGCTGGAGAAGAGGAGGCTCAGAGGAGATCTTACTGCACTCTACAACTTCCTGAAGGGAGGTTGTGATGAGGAGGGGTTTGGCCTCTTCTCCCAGGCAACAAACAGAACCCGAGGAAATGGCTGCATGTTGTATCAGAGGACATTTAGATTAGACATGGGGAAGAACTTTTGCTCTCCGAGTGGTTACGTGCTGGAATGGCTGCCCAGGGAGGCGGTGGAGTCGCCGTCCCTGGCGATGTGTTCAAGAGGCATCTGGATGAGGAGCTACGAGATATGGCTTAGAGGCTTGTGGTAGTAATGGTAATGGGAGGACAGTTGGACTAGGTGATCTTGCAGGTCATTTCCAACCTTACCATTCTGTGATTCTGTGATGTAAGCTGAACTACAGTATTGCAGTTTCATGTCTCTTATGTTTTAGAAGGAAATAATTTGGTAGTGTATTTCGCTTTGAATCAACAATCCAATAACAAAACTTCAGTATTTGTCTGTTGCTTTTTTTAAAAAAAACAAAGGACTTCTGCCTATTCTATATTATATATAGTAAATATTCTAAGAACAAAGATGAAGTTATCTTTGAGATTCATAAGCAACATGCTGTTAATGTCTCGTATAAAAATGATGGTAGATAACACCCAAGAGTAAGTCAATAGAATAGAATCACCAAGGTTGGAAAAGACCTAAAAGATCATCCAGTCCAACCGTTCACCTATTCCCAATAGCTCCCACTAAACCATGTCCCTCAACACAACATCCAGCCTTTCCTTGAACACCCCCAGGGTCGGTGCCTCCACCACCTCCCTGGGCATCCATTCCAGTGCCTGACCACCCTTTCTGAAAAGTAATACTTCCTCATGTCCAGCCTGAATCTCCCCTGCCGTAGCTTGAAGCCATTCCCTCTGGTCCTATCACTAATGACACGAGAGAAGAGGCCGACCCCCAGCTCACTGCCACCTCCCTTCAGGAAGTTATAGAGAGCAATGAGGTCTCCCCTGAGCCTCCTCTTCTCCAGGCTGAACATTCCCAGCTCCTTCAGCCTCTCCTCATCAGCCCTGTGTTCCAGACCCCTCACCAGCTTTGTTGCCCTCCTTTGAACACGTTCCAGGGCCTCAATATCTTTCTTGCAGTGAGGGGCCCAAAACTGGACATAGTACTCAAGGTGCGGCCTCACTAGCGCTGAATATAGGGGAATAGGCTGCAGCACAGTGAACTCAGCTTGGAAATGAAGGTTTTCCCAATGCTTGGGAATTGTCTCTGCCAGCAATTGTCACCTTTACTGTGGGGGCAGTTGAAATGTATGCCAAAATGTTTGCAAATTACCCCAGTCTGTAACATAACTAGAGTTGGCCCTGATTTTATTAAGGACTACTTTAAAAATGGCTGGATGGGTTATTCTGGCTTTCCTGATGCGGGTATTAAAGAGTAGGCTATTGAAGGCACCATCAGTTAAATTTGTCTGTTTGTGAGTCAGCGTCTTCACATGTTAGGGGGGCAAGTGCTGAACTTCAAAGGAAAGTACAAATATCTGTCATAGCAGCTGTCAGTAACTAGTCTGCAGCAAATCACAAATCAGTAAGTCCCCAAAAGTTTGATTTCAAAGTGAACATTGCCTCCAAAATTTTAAAAGGCCAGAGGGCTGGCAAACCTATCAGGCAGATGTGAGTTTGGAAACATTTTTATGGAGTCAGTTTAATATTGGTTGCATTTTTAACCTTGTAAAGATCATGACATGGCCAATATTCACATCCAAATTCTGTGTTTGTCCTTTTTGTCTGAAGGACTTTTGCCAGACCATTAAGTTTTTGATTGAAAGTTGGAAGAGCTACCAGAATCTGCTACCCTAATACTTACAAATTATATAATTTCACTTCTCATTTTAAATAGTGCCACAGTACCTCTGGGATGATCCAGAAATTAACTACGCTGTGAATCAAATCAGTTACTGCAAAGGGCATCAACTACCTTAGTATACTGTGATTCCTTGCTGATGTTACTCAGTTGATGCCTGTGGCAAATTGTGCCACTGTGCCTCTGTTTTCAGATTCTTAGAGTTGGATTCTGTGGATCAGAAATCTCCAGTGTAGTAGAGAGTAGTCAAGTGCGCTGATAATGTTTTGGGAATGACAGCTCCACAGAGGTCAAAGCAAGTTTGCAATTTTTGCTTAATGCTGAATGGTGAGGGTTTTTTTTTTTTGTTTGGTTTGTTTTTGTTGATGTTTTTGGTGTGTGCTTTGTTTGTGGTTTTTTTTCGCTTGTTTGTTTGTTTTTAAGTTAAGTTTGTCCTAAGTCAAATTAGCCATCAAGGTGTTATCTGTTCTGGGAAGCAGTGAAATCTCTTGTTCTTTTCTCTATGGGATTTCCTGTTATTGCATGAATGAAACATGCAGAAAACATGCTCTTTTTCTTGGAACCTTCAGAAAGGGAACTGAGGCCAGGGAAAGCACATGCTTTCAGGAGATTCTGATATAGTTACAAGGCTGGAAGATTGGTTTGAGTACATATTATCTGAGACAGCAGTTATAAAATTAAGCTCCCTGGGGTCACAACAGCCACACTTCTTGGTGCTGGGCAATTGTGCAGAGCCTGCCTTGGGAGATACACCAGGGATACCTACAGAGTATGAAGGGAGCACTCAGCCAAGAAAAGCGGGAGAAGTGTTCTGCGGTGGAGGAAGGGGTGCTGTTTGTTTTCTGGTTTTGATCAGTAGAAATCCAGAAAGGTGTCTGAAAAATGAAAAAGGAGGACAGAACCTAGGGGAAGGGGAGTGAAGGTATCTTTTTACATCAAGAACAGCCATAGCAGACCATTGCTTATACCCTGGAACTTCATTATTCTTACTTCAGCTGGCAGCCTGTTAGGAGTCCTCCTGAGCCTTGGGTAGCCTGGCAAGTTAGGAGAAGTGCAGGTTTTCCCATTTCCACTATTGCAAAAGTAATGGTTTCCTTGCCAGAAATACTGTCTAGTAGAAAGCTACATGTCTGCAGCTAGAGAAAGGACAGAGATGAGTTGCTGCTTCAGAAACCCAGATGGGAGTAACTGGATTTCTGTTAGACTGAGAAGTCTGTAAATGTAGGTACTGAAGTCAGTTTGCTCTGCTCTCAAAGATTCCTACAAAGAGCCGCATCAAAGCCTCTGCTGTAATATAAAAGTTAGTTTTCCAAAGGTTAACTGCTCTCTGCCAGAAGACATTGGTTTCTGTCTCATCATTTCCTACATAGCTTTCCAAACCAGGACATAAGCATGTCAATGGAGCCCCAGGAAGGGGGTGATTTGTCTTGCCTGGCAGCCCTAGAAAACCCAAGTTCTCCCTCTTACTTTTTTGCTGTGCTCTGTTTGAAAATGTGTCACTGCTTGCAGACATGGCTTTTTTTGCTGCTTTGTTAAAAAAAAAAAGTCCATCCTGGCAAAATGCAGTGAGATTCTGCCTTAAAACACAGTCAGCCATGGATTTTTTCTGGAGACAAGTTATGAAGGGGAGCAGAAATTACAACTCTAGAGGTGAAAGTTTTACTTCTTTCCTACCGTAGATGATGCTCCTCTGTGAGCTAAAGTGTGCCTTGATATTCCAGTGGGACTAAGAAGTTCTTCTTGGTATTATCTGTATTCTCTTTAGTGCTTTCTGTTAACCAAAAAATCAGGGAAGGGATGTATCATATTGCATAAGAAGAACAAAAGAAATGTGACAGAAAAAGCACTATTCTGCAGAAAAACTGAAGTCTGGGAGAGATATACTGAGCTCCATTTATTAATAGTGTTGAATTCAACATAGTAAGCCATAAGACTATAACTTCCAAAATTAATTTTGTGTTGTAAAACATGTCAGTTTGTATGAACTGTTATCTCTCTTACCACTTCACCTTTCAAGATGTTTTGAATTTTTAAGTCTTTTGTCTAGATATCTGCATACCTCAACTAACCTCTCTAATCCCACATACATATATATTCTTAGAATTGCATGGAGAGGAGAGAGAACCAAAATAGTAAAAACCTGGAACCTTAATCCAGTAGATTCACTGAAGGAAAACCTGACCTCGTGAAGGCTACAGATTCTTTCAAGAGATCATAGTAAAAAGTTTCCTACTTAATGTATTTCCTACTTCCTTCAACCTCCAACAAGCTTTTACCAAAGCTGAACAGTAGCACCTAAATATTGCCATACACATGGAGATTTCTCTTAGGGTTTTCAAAGGTCATTTTTGAGCAACTATGTATTTTGGAAATCCATTTATTAAGAGCATAGACATTGATCTTTTACAGAAAGCAAATAAAAATGGACATTTATGCCGCTAGCTGAGTCCATTCTACTTGACTGCTGGCTCCTAGTTTCCACTCTTCAGATTTTGACCTCACCTAGTTCTTTTTGTTTTGGATGTCTGTATTTTCTCGCTTAGAGACTGAGCCCTGAATGTTTTCTTTCTATCCAGACAGTCCCAGTTCTTCCACCACACCCTGGCTGCCAGCAAAGACATAGGCAACCACTCCCCAAGGCAGCATAGCACAGCGGGCATGAACCATGCAGAACTGCTTGGCTTAGGGATCAGCGTTGTTCCTTGGAGAGCATGACATCATCCATTGAGGGGTAGCTTGTTTGCATCCATTTGTCTCCTGGACTCCCCCTAGTATCTTTATTTGCTATTCTTGCATCAAAATGATTACTGATAACTATTTCCTTGCCCAGTAAGTTCCACCACCTTACAGAATAAGCGCCATGTATGCAAAAGTACTGGAAGAAGCACAATCTGCCACCAATCCTATGAGTAAAAGTGTTCTTAGACAATTTAGAAATGCACAAGGTTAAGGCATTTCTAAAAGAGAGAGATATCCCCACAAGCTTGTATTGTACTACCGTACAGGTTCAACTTTCTAATTCTGTAATTACTTACAGATATTTTGTCAAGAACAGCTCTATTGCAAATTGAGATTGCCCATTTCAGTACTGTCTGTACAGCCAGATTCTTCAAAGGTGGCAATGAGGCAAGAAAGGAATTGTAACTAAACTTTTGGGAAGCTGGCTTACACTTCTTTGTCAGCTCCCAATTTTTAGCTAACTGCTGTTTCAAAAATCTTGCATGTTCAACATGGATGAAAATAACTGAGATTGGAGGAGCTTGTCAGAAAAGGGTCACTACAAACAAAAATTCTCCTCTGTCCCTCCACAGTGTAAATAACATTTAGATATTCAGACATTTTCACAGCAGTTTCGTTTGGAGGAAATACGGACTGAACACAGACCGTAATCTTTCTAATGGCATTTTAAATTTGTTGAACACATTAGCCAGTTGTCTGACAGTGTTGCAGGAAAGAGATTAGGTCAGAATGACCTAGACACATGTTGAAAAACCATTACCTTCTCAAGGCATTCTGCTTAGGATAATGATTTTGAGACCAACATCACAGAAATGAACTTAAGAGGGAACACCTGGTCTAGCGAGCTCTACAAATGAGCAGAAGTGTTGGTGCTCCCCACTTGGTTGCTACAGAGAAAGAGCTCTGAAGAGCTGAACACTGTTTTAGTGGAAAAACTTAACAGTATGTGTCTGGGAAAGTAATTGGCCCTCTGGCTCAGGATAATGCTGTCAGGCAGTACCATCTCAGAGCATCAGTAGGTGGGCTTTTGGACTGAGTGGGAAATGTTATGGTTCCAAAGCGCAGTATCACTTTCAGACTGGGAAGTAGCAGCTACAAGGGAGATAACTGAGCAGTTATCTGTGGTGAACCGATTAAAACAGCAGGCTCTAACACTGTGCCATGGCCTGAAAACTACTATTTGGTTCCATCCCAGCTATTTGGAAGACAAGGGTGTTCTGATTAGCCATGGAATCTGCTTCTCCTTCCTTTCTTTGACACTAAATTTTTGAGAGCAGTCCCAAGAAATCCAGAGCAAAGCACTGAATGTGTTACAGTAAGTAAAAATACTTTTCTCGTCCTCTTGATTCCTAGGCTGTGAGCTAAATCATGTTGTCTTTCCTTTGCCAACAACTTCTAACACATAAAGAACTACTTTTCTGTTGCCATGTATGTAAGCTACTTGAAATCACAATGTTGACAGTAATTTGTGTTTGCTTTGATCAGCCTTAAAGTCACGGTAATTAAAACTGATTTTTCTACTCACATATTGAAAGAAACGAAGTATCTTCAGGTGAGGGCATGTTGTCAAGAATCCCAGGAAAATGTTAATAAATCCTCATACACCAGCATGTGTCTCCCTCAGAGCTGTATCTTCTGGGCTCATGCCCTCTCAGCATGCATCAACAGTTCTATCAATAGGAAAAGAGAGTCTTATCAGGCTAGAGAGCAAAGCAGCACATATTGTTGATTGGCTTTCACATGATAGACAAAGGCACTTACTGTTTTTTTTTTTCTGAAAAGTTCGTTTTCCTGCACAGCTTCAGTTGAGCATTTTCCATTAATGCACAACAGTATGAAATAGAAAGAAATATGTAAAGATGGGAAATGAAAAATTCTGAAATGAGAGGAAGAACTAAGGAAGATAGACTGCAATTCCTCAGGTGTGGGCTTTAGTCGGGACACTGGAATCTGTACAATCTGCCCAACAAGCTCTTTAATTATGACCTGATTTAACGTTATCTTCAAGTATCCCCAGCACGCTATTCCCATGTGTTTCAAGTTAGTCCCTTATGAAATCAGCAGAAATTGCTTGCCTTTCTTAACATACTGCCAATTGTGATAGTTCTACTGAGTGTTGTCCATTCAGTCACTCACTGGCTATTGACATCTGATAAAATGAAATTGGAGTCAGAGAGTTCTGAATACTGGAATGTCTTTGTCTTGTGACTTCTGTGTGCTCAACAAAAACCTCCATAAAGCCTTAAACATAATAGAAGTCTAGCAAAATAGTTCTAAGAGGCTTGCAGTTTCATAGGATATTGCATGTTTTCACTTAAAAGATGTTGAAATCTGTGCCAGGAAAGCTGAAATAAAGAACCTTGAAATCAGATTAAATAGATGACAGTGAATTTTCCAGAATTATGTCATCTTTCATTTTCTACCTTGTTAATACAAGTGCTTTTGCAGGACGGATGTCATTACGAGGAGGAATGTTGTAGTGTTTGTGGCTTGCTAAGCTTTAATTAATGCTATGTTATTTATTTGTTGTTTATAAACACCAATGAAACTGAAAATATACTTGCCTCAGCATCCTCTTTATGGTAGTGTCAGTGACTTTAGATATGAACCAGAATTTTATAATTAAAAATACTTACGATTCAATGATTAGTATATATGTTATCTATTGACAGGATTGACTGTTGTTTTTTTTTTCTTAGTACCACTGCTGCCTGTTTTACTTATTTTAGATTTTGTTATTCTGACAAACATAGAACTCGTTTAAAAATGCTCAGGATTTGATGTGAGAATCGCAGAATTAATAGCTTCTACTTGACTACAAGACCTACAAGATTGCTTGATTAACCCGCATCTATCAGCATGGATATTAGCTTTTCCACGTTCTCAGATACAGGGCAGTACAAAGAAAATACACTGATTATATTGATGTAAGGCAGTTTGACAATTTGGTAGACATTGCATTTCTTTTTTTTTCAGTCCTGTATGGCATTGCTGTCTAGCATACCATTTAGTAGTTACATAATTGTTCCCTCTCAAGCATACAAACAATTAGGTCAGCCTGAGTCATATCAAGTAACTACAGCAAAGACCACATATGAAACCATTTAAGATAACAAGTCATGTGATCAAATAGATTACCCCTTGCCTGGATTTTCTGGATCATACTAAAAGTGTATTAGAATACACAAAAGCAACAGAGCTTACCAGCTGACTGTTTTGTCTGTGATAAGCCACTGATGAGCAGTTTACTGCAAAACATTTAACACTGACAAGCTAGGATTGAAAGTTACCTTCCTCTAAATCATTATATTGCTTCTTTAAACTGACCTTTTCAAGGCAAAAAAACAGTGTTTTCTTGCAGAAAAAAAAATATGACAGGGATGAAGGTTTATTTTTGTTTCAGTTGTTTTAATAACATTCAGCTATGTTACATTTTAAAGCTGACTAATTATCAGATGTAACATCTGGGATGCAGTTCCTATCAGACTGTGTTTTATCCAAACCGGGCACCGATACAAGAAAATGTTATTTGTATTTATTAACTGGAACATAAAGAGAAAGGTCAACACTTTCCCTATTCATCCTTCATCAGCATAGAGGCTGGTGTTAAAAAAGGAGGGTAAAAGCAAAACTCCTTATTCAACAAAAAACTTGTGACTACAGAAATACGCAAGATACATGAAAACAAAGAATAAGCTTCTTATAGAAACATTCTTTTTAACTGAATAACACTCAGTTTGATTATACTCACAAGACACACCACAGACCTCTACTGTTCTTAACTGAAGTCAACCGGAGTGGTGTCTCTCTTGCTGCAGTGATTACAAAAAGACAAGCATTAAAACACTTTTCCCAAGCAAGCAGCAATTAAGAGAAAGCTGAACATGACTAAAAGAGTTCCTCTGAATATGCTTTATTTCACTGGACAACATTGTTGGAGAAAAAGGGGCTGTTTGCTCCTCTGACCTTCCGAACTATTTTTCATAGTAGTTACAACTACTGGCCCACCAATAGTTGTTCTACCTCACGGCCAGAGATATTGTGAGGCTTTCTCTTGCTGTCTAAACCACAAGGCCTCACACAATGGAAGCCTTCCAAACAGGAAGAGTTCTGATCTTTTTAGTCTCTTCTCAAAAAGCGTTCCATGCCCTTGATTGCTATTGCTTTTCTCCTTGCTTTCTGTAGATCCACAATGTCCTTCTTGAGATACTGAGATCAGAACTGCATGTCAGACTCAAGATGGAGGTGTCCTAAGGTTTTGCATGTAGGTTTTGAGTGTCAGACCGACTCACACATTCTTAGCAATCTTCCTGATGATGTTCAAGGTGACTTTGGGCTGCTGCTAGACACTGAGACAGAAGTCCCAGCTGGCATTTCTGATTTGGCCTGCAGCACCTATCCTCTTCCTAAAAGGATCAGGCTTTTCTAGTCCCTTTCTCCATCATAGATCTTGGGCTTTTTTTTTTTTTTTTTTAATCTTTTTTCCCTCCTGTTATATGCACTTAGAATATATAAGAGCTGCGAGAGTTAAAATCCAGGCTAATTCAGTTGCTGGTGGCTTCAAACTGCTGTTTTTTAAACCAGAAAGCAGAAATGAATCCAAACTGGAAACCAAAACTGTATCTGGAACAGAATCTGAAATATTACTTTGAAGACTTTACAAACATACATATGTACAAAGGTTACTATTTCAAAATAGTAATTTGACTAAGATCTGACATTCCCTAAGAGAGGTCTGTCCAACACAGGGACTGTTTAGACTAGTTCTTGTACAAGTCTTTGTTTCCAAACTGCAGCAAGGTTGTCCCAGCTGCTCTGTGTTGCTGGGCTTCTATACACAGATGCCTGCCTCCAGTGTTCTTATAAACAGCCTTCAATGGAAGAGGGCAGGCAATAGCTTTGATTCCTCTTCTCCTGTATCTGTCAACTGTGTGATTTTTACTAACAACGTGCCCTGTATGTGACAGTGGGTCCAAGTTTGTCAAGTCTTTTCCCATCAATTTGCTTTACTGGTTAGGTGTGTTTACATGTATGTGGTTCTGTTACAGTAAAAACATTTTGCAGAGAGTTACATATTAAAATAAGAATACTTGTATTATAAGTGAATATAGCATGATTATGTCAGAGTAAATATGATCGTGATTTTAAACCAGTGTAAAACTTCATTTAAAAACAAAACAAAACAAAACCTTTTCTGTTGTTTGCATCAGTTATAGGAACAACTTCAGTTCTGTGATTGTAGAAGCTGAGAGCTCACACCTGACTACTACTGAGAGGCTGGATTACTTATATCTTATCTAGAGAAATGGGAGGTCAGTGTGATTCATCACACTGTTCTAATTCCTGCCTTTAAAAAACCTCTCTGTCTAGGAACAAAAGGCATGTGCATATGTCTCCTTTCATGAATGCTGGTAAGTAGGCAGTGAGGGTCTAACTTCAGCTTTCTTTGCTCATCACTGGATAGATAATTCCCATAACAACTGAGAAGCCAGTGTTCTTTGATCCCTTTGTTTCACACCTTGAAAACATTCTTTTCTCCAAAAATGCTGCTGTGTTCACTGTTCTCCTAGCAGCCCACAGCAAAAGTGGTGTTGGGATAGAGAAAGTATTCATGCACCCACTATGCAAAGTGTAAAGCCTGAGCTTGTTCAGAATAACAAAAAGGACAGGATAGCTTTCTTTCTCATCTCCTCAGAACATGTAAAGGTATTGTGCTGTTTTTGCTTTTTCTGAATAAAGCCCAGGAGGAATGAAAAATTTAAGCCTAGGCCTTACTCAGCATACCAAGTAACTAGCCTAGGCCAGACAGAAAATCCTTCCAAATGCAGGCCTCCTTCCTGGCAGCAGCACTGTGCCACTTTGACATCCAGCATTAATTTTAAGTGAGAGTGATTTATTTTGCTTTAGAAGACAGCAGATGGCAGCAAAGTTACACAGATGCGCCAAACTAGTAGAAGAAGAAAAATATCTTGATACACAAACTCTAACAACATTCCATGGAAAAAACATATCATTTGTTTCTGTCTGTCTTGCAGTGTGGTTAGTCCAATAAATCAGATTTAATGGCCCTCATGTACTTGTAATACGAGGGATTTTTTCCCCTGTAATCAAGAGTTAATGGAATCAGAATGGGACAGTAGTCGTTCAGCAGATTGTCTCTGCAGGGCTTACTTCTTTGTGCTAGTTTTTTTTATATCCTTCATTAATGAGATACCAATTATCTTGTGCAAGTACGATCGCAAAGTACTAGACTGAATGTGAGTGCACCCCGACTGATGCAGGAGCTCTGACTGCCAACCTCTGCTGTAAACTATGCACAAAACTCACTCATTTGAGGTGATTATCTGCATGCATCCTTTTCTGAGGCTTTAGAATAGGTGATGAGTTTAAAAAAAAAAAAAGAGAAAGAGAAGAGGAAGGAGAGGAAGGAAATGCTATTACATAAAGTTACAGTTTTAAAACACTCCAAAATCCTACTTCATTACATAAACAAAGGAGTCTGAATTTTGGACAAGAATGCTGGAAGTTTCTTGGATTTGATGCCTACTCATGGACACATTTAAAACTGCATTTCATATATTTATGTTTGTTGAAGGCATCGTTTCCAGCAGTACCATATCCACTTGAGAGGAGCAGCAGTGATCATGCACTGCTGAGCTCATTTCAGCCGTGAACAAGGGAGTCTCATTTAGAGTTACTTCTTTTTGATAGTCCTTTACTTTGGATTTTTAGCAGTTTCATAAGTTTCCATAAACTTATGAATAAGTTAGAGGTAGTGTACAATACCATCTTTCAGTATGCAAATAGTCATGTTTTTGAAAGAAAACCTAAGGCTGAATCTTTTTTCCTGCTGAAGTCAGTAGAGGTTTTGTTTCAATTAGGTGGAATCTGTCTCAGGCCTGGGATTTGGTGTTGATTCCTATCTGGCTCACCAGTTCATCACCAGCACAATGTCTGATTTCTATAGGCAGTAAGGAGACTAATGATATATGCCAGTTGCATATTTTTTGTGTTGTTTATCAATAAAGGGCCAGAGTATGAATTTGTTCCTTATGTAGAATGGGATGCAGAGCTGCACAGCCTCAGGGGGAAAAAAAAAAAACAGCTTAGAAAAAGGCACATAGAAATCCATCATTTTTTCC